GCTCCTCCGCCGAGAATGACGAAGAAATGCGCCTGCTTCACACCGAACGGGGTTGTGTACACCAGGCTAGAGTCGAACGACTACGACGGACATCGATACGGATTTGGTAGAGACAGGAGACCAGCTGACGTGTACACAGACGTGGCTAGATACTTTGCTAGAAGAGGTACTTTAAGAAAATTGGACATTTTTGAAAATTTCTATTAGAGAATCGGACTGTTGAATAAAGTATGGATTTTTGGAGAGATCTCGCGGAGAATCTGGTTCTGTATGCTTGGAGATTAATGGATAGTTGGCAAGATGAAAGATTCGGTGGCCTCTCAGTTTGGAGGGACGATCATAATTCAGAATTTTTATCAGGCAAACGAGACGTCTCAGACGTGGTTAACGAAGATTCTGGTCGAGATACCGACGTAAACGACGAGGAGTACAACGATGGGAACCGAGACAGGAGAGGCATCGACGAAGAGGACGACGAGGATTTCTTCCAGGAATTGGACAGGCTCGAGGACGACGTGAGGAGAGAGTACGCGAGCTTGATCTCCAGGTACGAAAGTTTTAGAAAGTTCGATCGGTCGAGTGATAAGGCAGGCACAGCTGTTTCATCCATGATGGATCCGTTTCTTTTTTTCAGGGTGAGATTCGATAACAGAACGTCGCGGGAGAACGGAGCATTGGAGTTCGATAATTTGAACGAGTCGGAATATTCGATCGAGGACTTCGATCCTAGCTTGGATAAGGTGGTGAAAGGTCGGCTGAACGTTGAGGACGTTGTCAGGAGGCATAGGAGGGTGCGGAGGAGCGTTGCTAAGAAAGATACCGTCGAGCATGTGACCAAGATCATGGAGAGCATCGAGGAAGAATTGGACGACTTGAAGGTATTTCCGATTAAAGAAATTCTAATGAATATTCCGAGAATGACAGTTTCGTGTGAACGAAGAGTGTTTGAGACTACAGTGTGAACGAAAGATAGAATAATCCCTAGAATGTTGAATTTTCATTCCGATACTTAGGCCACGCAAGCTCGTAATTCAGAGCAAAGAAGAACGCTACCCCCGAAATGCTCAGTCCTCCCAAAAGGTGGAGTGAACTGTTCAGAGACCGTGTACCAGGATCCAAACGAATGGAGGATTTCTAGGCGTGAAATCGAGCAGCAGATCAGAGAAATGAGGATGCAATTGGAGACCCTGAAAGTGGGTATCGCTAATAATTCTGCTACCCAAAGCAAAGTGTTTTACCCTGTGTTTTTCAGGATATTCGTCGTCACTTGATGATCAAGCGGCCGCACGTGATCCGTGAGCCAGAAGACACGACCAAGAATCAAGAAGAACCTCAGAAATCGCATCATCACTCTTCGAAGAACCACGTGAATCGTCATCACAAGAAACACGATCACGCGAGCACGATGAATCCTACCGTGACGACCGTTCGTTCCACTGTGAAGCAGAACCAAGTCACAGAAGACAGGCCTCTATCTACAGATTCCACGGAAAAATCGAGGTTTAATGTTACAACGACGGACAGTACCGATACAGATACGACTGAACCGACCACGACTACGTTATCAACCACGACGACGATGACAACGACGACGACGACGACCAAGCAAAAGAAGATTCCTCGTCGTCAGAAGATGAAAGAATCTTCGAATAATAGAACAGAGGCAACGGAGAGACGCAGAAAGACGCATCATCACAGAAGGAACAATACACTATTTACGAACAGCGTTCACGACGAGGTGCCCACTGTGAACGTTAGCGAGACAATCGAAACAACCATAACTACACAAGTTACGACGTCCAGTCAAAAGCATCAAACTAGATATACGACCCTTCCCACCACAACTACCAGAGAAACCACTGTCCAAAGGGAGGCTTCGAGTAGTTTAGGAACCACGAACGACTTCGCCAAAGAAACCACACTGGGAATGGACGCGCAAACTATACTATCGACAGGCATAGAGAGCTCAAGTTTGGGTGAAACGACGGAATCCCAAAGAACCACTACGGTGTTAGGTAAAGCTACCACCGATGGCCGTACCAAATCTACGTTTTTATCCACAACTGTGCCTACTACTCCTGTGACAACGCCAGTCGCGGTAACTCCGACTAGAAAGTTCCCAAAAATTCAGAAGAACAGAACGTCGGGAAATCTGGGACCATCGAGGATCGACGTTACCATCTTAGAGTCTCCGGATAGGAGAAACAGGCAAGGTTAGCGATCGTAAAAATCATTTTTTTCCAATTATCTTTTAACGTAGATCTGACTGAACGTGTTTGTACTTCACGATAGACATAATAGACATAGCAAATAATAATCGTCGACTGCCACCGATGCTGAACAGCCCTCTAGAAGCTCGTCACAAGTGTTACTGCGAGCCAGACACTTACTCGAGGAAGGACGAGAAAGAAATAGCGAGGGAAGAGAGGAGAAGGCTGAAGGAGGAACGTCTGAAGAAGAAGGAGAGGAAATTGAGGAAGAAGGCCAAGCTCGAGAAGGAATGTTTAACCGAGAAGATGAACTGCTTTGAGCACGACAATGATCATTGGAGAACCGCTCCTTTATGGAACGCAGGTCCATTCTGTTTTTGCATGAACGCTAACAATAATACGTATTCGTGCATCCGTACTATTAACGCGACACACAATTTCCTTTACTGCGAGTTTACTACCGGCCTGGTCACTTATTACAACCTGAGGATCGGTGAGTGGATTATTTATGTATATTCGCACCTGGCTACGTTCAAGGAAATTGCTTTTTGTTATTGCGTCCATTCTTCTTCTTTTTTTCTGTCGGTTAGATCCTTTCGAACAGTGGAACAGGATTTCTTCTTTAACCTCGACGGAGAGATCGTATCTTCACGATCAGTTGGAACATTTGAAGGGTTGCAAGGGAACGAGGGATTGTACGGTTGGAAGTGCGAGAGAAGCGTATCCGCAACCTCAGCAGCATCAGAGGTTCATATCGAAGAGGAAGTATGCTAATTCCTTCGGTACGTTTGATTAATAATATACTTCAAAAAATTTTTAAAGGTCTATCTAGCGTTTATTTCGCGATTTTCATTTCTTTAGAGGATTTATTCGTACCATCCACGTTACAAATTATCCGCGAAAGCGAACTGGGTAGTCCGCCGAATAAAAGGCGAAAAAAGTTGCAAAAGTAAGTGAATGAACTGAAAAATTGATCGTTGAATCTCGGATTTTTTAATGTATTTCTTTCCTTTTCTTTGTACGGAATAGCGTTTGGAATAGACGAAGCAGAAGCTGGCAAAGTAGTTGGAGACACCATCAAGACACGACGAATTCTCGGCGGCACAGACACCAATACTGACACCGTGGTTGGTTTGTTCTCCATCGAGGGAATCGTCGAAGGATGCGTGAAAGCATTGCCTTAGATGTATATTAATTTTCGCGATGCATTTATCGTTATGACGTAATTTATTTAGTGATATTTAATTGAGAACGGATACGTGATAATTGAATTGAGAAAGAATTTTCTGATCGCATTATTAGGCTCGAGAGCTGTTCGAACGAGGTACCACCGTGTATATTTTTTAAATAGAGCTACACACATTTTTATCACGACAAAATTATAATTAACAATGTGACTGATCGGGCGCGAACAACAATCGGAAACGACGATCTAAACGACGATCCTTTTTTTACTTAATAGCCGATATTTTTTATAATAATTTATTTACCGTCGTCTCTTTAGGTCTTTATAACGGGGAGACGCGTGATTTACTCGAGATGAATCAACACACACTTGCCTAAAAACCGAGATATTTTATGGCAATTTTAAAATGCAAATCTTCGATCTATCCGGGGCAAAAAAAGAAAAAAAAAAAAAGAGAAAAAAAGAACAAATTAGCGACACGATTAAACTTCTTTCAGCGAGGTGAATAACCGATACCAATAGCTTACGTAGACAATAGATTGTCTATAAGAAGGAGGATGGAGAGAGAGAGATTCTGAGAGAGTCCGTTTGATCGCGTGTAAGAGAATGAATTCAAGCTGGAATTCGCGACTACGGACTGAAACGCACAACGAAAGAACAAACACAATAGCAACAATCGTCCTGCCAAAAGTCTTTTTGCCTTTTCCTCGCGGATAAATCTCTATACAACTGATATACGTTCGTAAGACGTTCTTCTATTCTACCGAAGCTGCCATTCAATTTTTTTTCACTTCTTCCTATTGCCTTCGAGCAATAGCAATGCAGAATAAATTGCTACTGCCACGAGAGATGTCTCACGGTCGTTCTAGCCAATCTTTATTGAGAAACGTTCAGTAGGGAGGGAAAAGAAGAGGTAATGCTACGAGCAACAATCCAAGATTGTGCAAGGGAGCTTTAGATGAAGCCGAAGAAACTTTTGGCACCATTTATTCTGCGCAATGTCCTGTCTTACTAGAAGCAGTACTGAAAACTTTTGTGATTGCTAAACCTAACAGTCTCTGTTACGGAAAAAATGGAATGCTGATGGATGCATATAATTCTATTAGCATGGAATGGAGGAGGTGATGGAAGATTCGACAAATGTATTGTACACTTGCTTTGACAAGTATGAAAGTGTTTCTTTAGACAATATTCGTTCTTTTACAATGTGAATTATATATAGTTTAAATACCAAACTTAATAAATCACTGTACGATAGCTAGATACTTGTCTCCATTAGCATTTTATTTTTTTACAAGTATATGTCTGTGTTATGTACTAGGTTCTCAGTTAGTGTCCTGAGAATATCTTCAAGATTTTGAAACTAAAGCAATGTATTTAAATCATGTGAAATAAATAAATAAATACTGTCCAAATTCCAATTGATATATCTCATTTGCTTAATTCAGTTTTGGAGTATCAGTTGAAAACAAATTAAGAAAGAACATAAAAATAAACAGTACTGAAAATTAACTGAACATATATTTTTTATAGCTTAGTACATAAGAAACTTACAAATGAAAATAACCTTTTTTTAAATTGCAAATTAAAAGAATATAAGGAACTTAAAAATTAACAGTAAGATCAAGATCCTCATTGTCGTCAAAAATGTTTTTTGAGAACTTGGTTTCCATAACACTTTTACTATGAAAATCACTGTCCTTGCTATTATCATTATTATAGGATACATTATCTACCTTTCCCTCTGTTGTGACATTGTTGTCTTCTTCTTCAGTATCATAATCAAAATCTTGCTTAAAGTCATTTTCATAAGAAATATCACTATTCACATTTGTATGCTCATTGTCCGAGCATGATACATTGTCATTATCAAGGTACAATGAATCATCACTTCTCTTATAACTAGTACCCTGACTATTTGAAATTGCACAATTCTTAAACTTAATCTCATCTGGTTTGTCTAAATACTTTGCCCACTTGTTTTCAGTTAATTCTAACTTTGGTTGCTCAGAATAATCATTAAAGCAAGCATTACTCATGTCATTAGATCCTTGAAAGGATGCATTTTCCTCAAGTTTATGCTCTTTTGTAAGATTTAATTTTTGAACATAAAGCCTACAATCTTTTCCTGAGCCTTTAAAATACACCTAAAAATTTCAATTTTATACTACAATCTCGTAATTTATCATTTTTATTGAATTGCGTAACGACGTCCATTTCGCAGAATATTGTAATCGATATTAAAGATACAATTTTTTGTTTATAGAAACAATAATAAACTAACCTGTTTGAATATCTGCTTGAAATTACATATTTTGCACTGCCATTTCTTCGCTTTTTTAACTATGTGCACCTATAAATCAAACAGAATGAACAAATTATTAGAAATAGCGTATTATATTGCGCTTTCAAAATACTACGTATTAGACAATTACCTGATACGTTCTACACGAAGAACAACATAAAATATTCATTTCTTGCGACATGGTGTTGCAAATTATAAATATTTAACGTTAAACGACACTTTTTTAATATTAAAACTGTTACGTCTTGAAGCACTACACTTTCGAAACTATTTCAAACTTTGAATCGCTTGATATTTCACAAGACAGTTTAGCCAACATAACGTTATTGCGTTTTGGCGGGAAAGCAGTAGCATTTCTTCAAGTTAGTTGAATTCTGTTACTTCCGGTACTTCCGGCAAATTAAATACGTTCGATTTGAATCGAGCGTTTGTGATTTTACAATTTTTATCGTAACAGTGTGCTAAGAACATATGAAAACGAAATGAAAAATTGCAAATTTCTATGAAGTACGTGTTCAGATAAAAGGTACCATTAAAATATATCTTTTTATGCAAAATGTGACATATCGTAGTTACTCGTGACAATGAAGAATTACAATTTACTATAACGGAAAAATTTGCCACGTTGTAGTATTTATATATTATTTATTACATTTTATTATTACAATTTTTGTGAAAAACATTCATCAAACATAATCTCGTAATTCTTATTTTGGTTCAAAACATGAAATTTTACACTTTGGTAAAGCTTCAGCAAGTTCTTTGCAAATAGAATTATCAACAGCTGGCAGTCCTTTAATTTTTAATGTTTCCAATTTTCTGAAATATTAAAGTACTTCAGACACTATTTAATACGTTTTTTAAATAATTTTTGTATGTATTACATACTGCAAAATTTTCAATTTACGTAGACCTTCATCTTCAACACTTGTACAACCAATAACTTCTAGATGTGTTAATGTGTCTTTTAGGATTGATAACTTTGACATAGCTACATTATCAATATATTTACAATTTTCAAATTTTACTTCTTTTATATGATTACATCCCTCTACAATAATAACTTAACGAATAACTGTGATCGTGTTCATATTTTTTCATACATTAAATATACTAGAATACTGACTAAAATGTGGAAATCCCACATAAGATATTCCAGCATTATTTGCATCTACAGCTTCAATAAAATACCCTCCACCAGATGGTAATAAATTATAATCTTGTAATGAATCCTTAAATCCTTTCCATCTTACACTTGCTCCATTTCTTAAAAGCCATTCTGCACAAGCACGATCGGGACCAACTTCTTTTATACGGTCATTATCGACTCTTTAAAAAAGAAGCTTCTTGCATCAAAGCTATTTACTTTATACAGTGAAAATCAAACAACATAGCTTTATTCAAGTACCTATTGAAAATAACAGTAAGCCAGTAGAAAAGGGGCTTAGTTTGATAGCTTAAATTTTGAGAAACATTAGGTATGAATCTAATTGAGGTCTGAAAGGAGAAAGTATACCACAATAAAGTTTATTAAAAATGAATTGATACGAATTTTTTTAAGACATACATAAAGGGTCATTGTTTCTTTTATTCTTGAAAATATAATGTCTATTTTATTGAAATCTCAGAATTACAAAAACGTTGGTTACGTAGTTTAGATGTGGAAAACAAATTAGACAATTAACTTATGATTGCACAACTAAACATATAATTGATACACCGAAACCTCTGGTACTTTTGAATATATAGAAGTATAGAATACTACGAGCAAGCGTTTAAATAACGCATTAGTAATCTATGTATGACGTAAACTACGAAAAAATAAAAAGTAAATCTCCGGTAGGTGGCTAAAAACTTCTCAACGGGTAATCAAAAATTTCATAAGAAATATGACAGTAGTTTTCCAGTACCAGTTCGAGTGGCATTATTTAACATTGAGAATTCAATTTAATATGAAATTTTATATAAAATTATTTACAAGGATTAAGACATTTGTATCATTCTCCCTACAGTAGACATTGTTTAATACAGATGTCAGCGACCAGTTGTATTTCTGTAGACCATAGTATTCTACGTTACCTATAGTCTCTGGATATCATAATTGTATGTGCCGCCGGTTTGAAGAGTCAAAACAAACCTGTGTGATTTCGCGCAACAGTGATTATATTTTGCAGGAAAACTACCAAATAGCAGCGACATGAGTCGAAGGAAAAGGGCGAAGGTTTGTGCTATTGTACTTCTTTACCGCAACTTAGTATTGTTTGTTATTAAGGATATTTTTATAAAAGGTACTGTTATTGTGAACGATCAAATAAGCGATGTTTTCGAATATTTGCTACAATATGACTCAGGTGTTTGTTTCCCTACGTTTTTCAATGCTATGATATAGGATGTACAAGTTCTTGGCTAAAAGACAATTCGCGTGTGTTTACAAGATATGATTCAGTGTTGTAAATAAGTAGACTAGGTTATGTTTTGGTTAGATGTATTATTTGTTGTTTATCTTAGTTCGTCCATAACAGTAGGTTTAACGTTTTGTAATTATAATCGAATGTATCTGTACAAACTGAAATAAATGAGTTTTATACAACTTTTAATTCATAAACGACTGTAGACATTTTTAACCTATATGTAAAAATAGATTTTTGTATCCTAAATAAAGTTTTACTGAATAATAACTGACAATTGAATATGCATATATTATCCTGTGAGTATTTAGTCTTGACATGTACATGCTTACGTATAGGTGGAATATAGAGAAATGGAGGAAAAGTATAATCAACTGGAAGACGAAAATACTTCAGACACATCAGAGAAATCTAAACCTGGACTTGTCACTCCAGAGAAAAAGGTTGTGCCAGAGGTAAAAAAGGATTCTGATGCTACTATACCACAGTCTACCCCCACATCTTCAGCACCAAAAATTGAAGTGAAAGAAGAAGATGATCAAGATAGTGATCATGAAGATCCTCATGGTAAATATATCTTTGAAACAGGTATTGCTGTATGCTTGCAACGGATGGATCCACAACTTATGTATTTGATTATAGTAAAAGAATTACTTAATGGATTAGAGGGAGCAGCATTTCAAAGTCGTCTTCCATTTGATAAGCTTACCTCCACAGAAGCAGCTTGTTTCCCAGATGTTGCTGGTGGACCACCACAGACACAAAAAGTTTTCCTTCACATTAGAAACAGACTTGTACGACATTTAATTTAATAAAATTAAATATCCCTTGTTCATCCTTACATGTAAACGTTTCTATTTCAGTTGCAATTATGGCTTGAAAATCCAAAGCAACAATTGATCGTTGAAAATGCTTTGCCAGCAATAGAACCACCTTATAATAGCGATACTGTATTAGCACGTCGAATTCACGCATTTTTAGAAAGACACGGTTTCATAAACTTCGGAGTGTTTAAACGTCTAAAGGTAATAAAAGTTTAATAATTAATTACTTTCATACTAGTTCTATTTATAGATAACGAAATCTAAAAATCCGATCTTTTTTTCAGCCATTACCTACTAAAACGTTAGGTAAGGTAATTGTAATTGGTGCAGGCATTGCTGGATTAGCTGCAGCTCAACAAATGCAACAATTCGGCTTGGAAGTAATCGTACTTGAAGCACGAGTAATTATTATTTCAAACTTGACCGTATCGTTAAAAAAATTGTACAAACTCTCTTATATACATGGTGTATTTTATAGGATCGCGTAGGAGGTCGTATTGCAACGTTTCGAAAATCATCGTATATCGCGGATCTTGGTGCAATGGTAGTGACAGGTTTAGGTGGAAATCCCGTCACAACGCTTAGTAAACAAATTAACATGGAACTTCATAAAATTCGACAAAAGTGTCCTTTATACGAGAGCGACGGTCAAACGGTTATTATGAATATAAGATATACGAATGTTGTAATAATTAAATATTTAAAAAAGATGCCTTATGAAGTTTTAATATTTTCGTCGCGGATAGGTCCCGAAAGATAAAGATGAAATGGTAGAGAGAGAATTTAACCGGTTATTGGAAGCAACGTCGTATCTTTCGCACCAATTAGATTTTAATTACGTGGGTAGTGCTGGATCCGGACAAGGTGGTAATACGCGACCGGTTTCGTTGGGTCAGGCATTGGAATGGGTGATACGTCTACAGGAACAAGGCGTCAAACAGCGTCAAGTAGCTCATTTGCGTTCCGTGCTATCGCTTCAAGGGCGACTTATCACTAATCAACATAGAGTGAGTATCTTAATTACTTGTACTTGATATTATTTTTCTTTTAGACAACACGAATTTCTAACGAATCCTAATAAAATTCCTCTCGTATTATAGATGATATCAATTATGGACCGTTTGGTCGAATTGAACAAACAGTATAAAGAAATGACCGAAAGTAAATTACAAACACGGGATATAACGCAGGAATTTGTGTTAAGATCAAAGTTACGGGATCTTCATAACGCGTGTAAGGTAATATACTCGGCGAAATCTTTCTGTTTACATGCCCGCGAACGCCTGTACTATTTACATTTTTTTTCTGCACGAGGAGTGGGACCAGCTCGCGGAGCAGCAAAAAGAAATCGAAGCGAAGTTACAAGAACTAGAAGCCTCCCCTCCTAGGTACGTTTAACGAAAACATTGCGTGTCACGCGAAGGAAACATTGTCGGTCGAAGCGTGCTCAGTATAGAAACGTTTCGGTTACTGTTCACAGCGACGTATATCTCTCCTCGAAGGATCGTCAAATATTGGACTGGCATTTCGCTAATTTGGAATTCGCCAACGCTACATCGCTGTCGAATCTGAGCTTGAAACACTGGGATCAGGACGACGACTTCGAGTTCACCGGCAGTCATCTAACAGGTGAGTCGTTTTAAACGATGATATTAGGTAAAGTAATAAGCACGTCGCGTTTAAATCGTCTCCCGATTCTTACTTTCACCGCGTGCTACAGCCGAGGCTCTGCCAAGCTTACTTAAATCCGTCCCTAAATTGACCGTAATCATTATCGACGGTACGCGTTTAAACACGCGAAAACATTCTAATTTCATGCGGTGCGCGGCGTGATTCGTCGGCGTATCCCTGCGCGGCGTAAACGCGTATACAGCATTATATCGACGTTCTCGAGAAATTGCTTAACCAGCCGGTAGATGGTATAGATAACGGGTGAATTATTCGCGGGTTGCATCTCCTTTACAGGCGTCGGATAGTCTCTCGCGTTCAGCGTCCGTGCGGTTGACTTTATCAACCTTATTGAAAGTCGATAGCATGAGATTCCGTGTAGATAGTCAGCTATATCCCTTAACCGATCGGTTACCAGAGTTCTCATTATATGAAATTATACTATGATCACAGCGTTGTACGCGCTCCTCCGCGCTCGGGCCTACTAATGCGTTAACAAAAACGAAACCGCTGAGAAATATGACTATAGATAATCAAGCGGTTTCGTATTTTACACCGTAACCCTAGTCTTTCTCTATGTATTCCCAACTCAACAAGTCCGAGTTAACGGTCTACCCTATCTATTTCCCTAATCATTTATCCCAAGTATTTACATTAAACAACCGAAGCTCCTCCGGAAATAATTGGCATTCCGATGCTACTTGTCGAATCACTGCATCGTTGCAATTTAAATTGTTAGCTCCTGGGCGTAACCCTTGCATACCATTCGGTGCACGCTCGTACCGGGTATCTGGTGCAAGATTAAACCCTTAACCCTTTACATGGACATAGTAGAAGTTCGTCGAGTTACTACTTGGAAACGTTCAAATTATTTTATTCTTCGAACGTTCAAGTTAGCATTAACCCTTGACTCTCGGTTAGTCTCACGGGATTTCTAATTTTTTTCGCATTCTACTATTTTTACTAATAGCAGATTAAATTAAAGAGAATTTTAAACTCTCCTTATCCTCAGATCCGTCACTGAGATTTCAGTGGTCAGAGAAAATGAGAATTTTAAATTCTCAAAATTTCATAAAAATCCCTCGGACTAACTTTAATACAACTTTAAATCCCCCTCGTCCTCAGATCCGTAAATAAGATTTCCACACTGGGAGGTTTCGAAATAACAAATACAGTTGCTTAAATGAAAAAAAAATTTTGTAATTCTAACTTCTCGAAATATGAAAATTCACGATATATAACATGGAGTGATTACGCTCGTCCTCCTAGTACCGATACGTTACATCTAATTTCCTAGACACGATTCACACCCGGAAACTGCGAGCGCTGGAACAACGAAGCGAAGGTGAATCGTGAACGTTAGCCGCTCGGTTCTCTCACGAAATGGCCAGTCTAGTAAACGAACGGTAAACACAACGCTTAATAGATATAGCCGTGGTAGAGGTTGCTGGATGTTGCGTATCAGTGGACCGTAACCCAGCGGAATAACGTGGTCGCGTGTGTCGCTACCGCGAAGCACACTCGACTGACATGGAACGAACGGAACCGGTCGAGAATCGAGGCTCTCGAGTTCCAATATTGCTCTGCCTGTCGTTGGCTGCGACGACAGAGGCAGTCGAGTGTGCCGCGGAACTCGAGCAAGAGAACGTTGGAGCAGTTTGAAACAAGAGACGAACGCGACGACGAGAAGTTAGGCGGATGGAAGAGAAGGAGAAGTCGGAGGATGAGAGGATGTGGATTTCTTGCCATGGTACCACGAGGCATGAGCTATACGCGCGGCTATGGTGGTCAATTCGAAATTAAAGCGATGCCCATGGCCCATGACTGACGTGCATCGATGATCATGACGGTCTGCCCGCAGGTTCTTCCCGGCGATTAATGAGATGTAAACAATTTAACGCTAAATTAAGCACAACAATAGGCTCTCCTTCTCGTGAATCTGCCCCGTCGAAAGTTGGGACCGAAGGATCCGTCGATGTAATCGGTTCTCCTCCTCGCGGACTCTTCGCTTTACGGACCATCGGTTCCTTCTCCGATTCAAACGAATCCCGCTTTGCAGGGTTAATAGCCACTGACCGAAAAGCGTTTAGGCTGAAATATTCTTTGAGATACTTTTTCGCTTTGAATGTCGCCGACTGCTTCCTATTCATTTTCTCTCTTTAACCCTTTCTGGTAGCTTCGATTCGACGACGGTAGACTGGAGAGTGTTGGAGGGAATGTACAGGATCTCTCGAGTTACCATTCTTTGGAAATTCTTCTTCGACCAATTTACGAACGTTCTTCGGTAATATCTCTTACGATCGTTCGAAAGAAGCTGGTCAATTTTTCTTCGGGGAAAGAAGCAATCTAATTTAGATTATACCTATGACGAAACGTTGAGAAAAAGATGAAGACGGAGAACGACATCTCGTTAGCTGGTCCCTCGAATAAAACTGGACGAACACCCCCTCGTACCTTTCTTTTTTACCACGTACATCCTCGGAATACATTTCAGGCTGGGTACAATGTTTTCGTCTGGCCGTGATCTGCTCGAGGAAACATTTGGTAGTAAAATTCCGGAATGCATGTGGATGTTGTGGCGATCAGCGTCGCGACGATCCGCCCGTTTCCTCTTCTGATCGCTCGTATAACAGAGAGTTATCGAGCTTTGTTCGCGTGGACTGGCCGCGTCGCCGGTGTTTTCGTTCGTTGGTCCGTCACGAAAACGTAGGCAGCTCGACATTATGCTTGTACACACGTACATACATACCCCGAAGAAGCAGATACTCTGGGCAGAAGTGGAAGAAGGGGCCCAAGGATGGGCCATTTACGACGTATCGAACGCGTCTTCTATACCGTTCGTTGACTCCGATCGTCGCATTCCACGCCGTCCGTGTGTCGCTACCAAAATTATATTGTCGTAAACTTGGTATTCACTTCTCTCTCTCTCTCTCTCTCCTTCTCCTTTCTTCCTTGAAACGAAGAGCAGACACGCATTATGGGTGGTTACACGAGGACCCGCTCTGAATGAACGCCTTCGTTCCTTCAAGAAAGTCCCTTTTCTTCAACGTGTGTCCGCAAGGATACTCGCGAGTCTCTACGTCGGCAGAAGAAGAAGAAGCTTTACACACGCCTCTCGGTATTAATCGAGAAAGTTCAATTGAGTCTTCCAGGCTGACTTTTAAAAGTTGTTCGGAATCACCGCTCGAAAGATAAATCGTCGATAGGTATATAGAGATAGGACACGAAGGGAGGAGAGAATCGTCGTAACGATTGTGAAAAGTTGAGAATAGACGATTCCGCTCATTTCCTCTTCAACCTTCTTCGAATATTTACGAGCGAAGGAAGAATCCGGAGTATCTAGGCTCGAGTTATTCCCTCGAGATCGAAATCAGAGGAACAGAGTTAAGGATCAGCGACGACCTGACTTGCCTAAAGGTTCCCCTGGACGCGTTTCGTATTTCCCATATAATAACGTGTTCCGCTCAGTTCGGAAATTTACGAACGACCAATGAAGCGAGCGAGCGAGGAGCAACGGGGATATAGAATGGGCGGGGGGAAGAATCTCGGAATGGCGCGCGGCTTAATGAGCTTTCGCTTTCGATCTCCGATCGATTCTCGAAGGAAGAGACGCGTACCGAGTCTGAACCGTGGAAATAAACGAGACGGTTCGGCTCATTTAGCGAAACAAGCCTGTGTGTGCTGTGGTGAAAAAAAGGTGTAAAATAGAATGGTGTCGAAACGAAACTGCGTCTCTTGCTAAAGGTAAGAAGGAACCATCCTGTTTGCCGAGAGGGAAGAGGTGAAGAGGAAAGGAGAGAGAGAAGAGCTGGTGTTTCCTCGACAGGACGAAAACGTAGGCAGCTTAACATTAGTTGAGCCTCGAGCTGGATGGCAAGAGGGGGCCCCGAGTGGTAATTTACGAGGTATCGAAGACCTTGTACACTCCTACCCGCCAACGAGCCGGCCTCGCCCCGCGGAATCCAGTCTTGGCCTTAACGCACCGATACCTTTCCCATGACCACTTTCGGCCTATCTGTGCACACGCGCTGCTACATAACACACGTATATACCACACGATCAACAGCTCTCTCTCTCTGTCTCTGTTTCTCTCCGGTGTTAGCTTGATGTTTGTGCCTTTACCATTTACAGTGCTCCTCGTGTCGACGACGCGGTAGGGTACCTTGTCGATATAGTCTATTCCCCGAGACCGTCTTCTGGCTTTGCCCCGTGGTGGCTCCGTGATCCGCGTGATTTCTCTTCTTAACGTCACCTATCGCCCGTGAAGTGTCAACGAGGCGATTTCTTAGCGCCGCTCGCTCGCTCGCTCGCGCTCTCTACCTCCTTTTGCCCCACGCTCGAACAAATGGTTCGCCGACACGCGTCCTGGATTAAGTCCTCCTGTCTTGACTCGCGTCGATACCTTTCCGCGCTTCTTCCTGCCCCCTCGCCTTTCTTTTTAGACGTGTTTTAAGGTCTTTGCTCAGTGGCTCTCTCTCTCCCTTTTGCTCCGGTTTTACTTTCTTCTTTTTTTACGTCTCTCGAGAAGATTGCTCGGATATTCTTGAGAGTGGGTTCGAAGCTTCGTCGAGGTTGAACGTTCAAGTTGATTTTAGTTGGATGGATTTTTTTTATCGTTGGATAGACGAAGGGTTGATTCGATCGAACTAATGGCCGCGATTAGAGATCGGCCGGTGGGATGATAAGTCGACTTGGCTGGGTGCATAACGTGTCAGCATGAAATGTGCCGGCTCGCGG